CACAATTCATTTCAGTTCATGTCTCAGAATGTGTATTTTTTGTTTTGTAATTTCACAGTTGTAATACCATAACGTGAAAGTGCCGCTTTTCTATCGCGAATGTGCCGAATCTGCTGATGTAATTACAACCGCTAGGTGATAGAGAAGGGGAGGGGGAGGCCGGGGGAGAGGTGAACTCTCCTGCCTCCGTTGGAAAAAAAAATTAGCCAATCACCATCGAGTGTTCACTTTCAGCGCTGAGGAGTGTTGAGAAAAGAAACCCCGTAGGGGAGGCGAGCCTCCCTTCTGATATCATCAAAGAGACATAAATTACGTGATATTAGTTTGAACATCTCCCGCTGCGCTGATAATGTACCAAGTACTTATGATGAATAGCGATATTGAATATTTGATTGCCAACAGATTTACCAAGCTGTCATTCAAACAGTATATATACAAATTTAGGGAAAACACACCTAAGCTGGATATAGGCTACAGCAGTCGGCTTAATTAAATGGCGCAACAGGCAGCTCTCTTTTAACACAGACTTTTAAGAAGGGATGGATGTTTGCTTCAAGTGATAGGCCAGATAAGTGAAGTTATATTATCTTGCTGTATATATGTCATTTTCCTTACGTTTTCTGACTAAAAGCAACCAAAAAGCCATTTTAAAGTGGTTAAGCAAATAATAATAATAATAATAATAATCGGCAGGGATCCCAGACCAATACAATTAGTGTGCCTCTATTTTAAAACCCACGAGCCACCACTGTGTGACTTTGCGCTGGGATTGCATAACCTTACTAACCAGTGGACTGATCTCGTTGCACAGCTTCTAAAAAGTTGTTATGGTCATTCTTAAACACCCGAGTGAAGTCTGTCGTCAAAGTATTTCTGTGTAACTGTCTTACACTACTGTGTTCCCAAACAACAGGCATCCACATCTGAAAGCAATATTCACATTTATTGTTTTGTCTGCTCACTCTTAGGTGCAAGTCATTTATTATATATGAAAATTACTATGTACAGTTGCCTCTACTTTTCTTAGTGATATTTAGTGTCAGTTTTTTAGGTAATTATGATTTTGTTCTCTTTGACTCGTTGGATGGAAACAATGCTTTATTTGCAAATGCTTTATATGATATTCCAATTTTGCACAAAAGTTAAATTCGCAACTTTGGATGAAAACCTGGCTAATGTTTTGCCCTACATAAAATTTGATAAGGTCCCTGCTGGAAAAAGCTGCCTTAACCCAGACTAAGCTGGTTTTAGTTGGTCTGCCAGCCTAATCCAGCCGGGTTTTGGGCACTTTGTAGTTGGTCAGTCTGGGGTTACAATTTAAACCAGTCAAACCAGATTAGGCTACTCTGAGCAGGTTTTTTAAAGCAAAAGTAGCACTAGTTGTATCGTGTTCCTCCTTATATTACCCATATAGTACTCATTTGAAAGTCACTTTGCATGAAAGTGTCTGCTCCAAAATGAATAAATGTAAATGCTTTTGTCTTGATTGTCTGGCCACTGTTAGTTGCTACAGGAAGCTGTTTGGTTACTTCAAATGACTTTGGCCACCCGTCGATATCAGGCAGTATTGAGTTCAAGACCACTGTCTATCCAAGTCATTGAAAGTCTCCTTTCCTTTTTGTCACACAGGCTGCGCGTTCCTCACCTACTGCGCCCGCGAGTCGGCCATCAAAGCCCAGAACGCCCTCCACGAACAGAAGACACTGCCGGGGGTAAGTCCGCTGCCAGCCTTTTGCATCACCTCTTTAAGACAGCCACCATGCCAGTCAAAGCTAAAGCCGTATGTTTTAGACAGAGAGCTTTTGGAGCAGAAATCAGTCGATAACCCAGCCTTTTAAGATCAGGCTTTGAGCCGTTTCATGGTACTTCTCCCCGGGGACATTTGCAAGCATTGATCCGATGCTTTCAGCGCAGGGCTTGGGGATGCAGTGATAGCAAATGTCAATTCATTTGTTCTCTCAATTTTTCCAAACTGCTCCATTTACGCAAAAAGCCAGTGAGTCATTGTTGCCCAGTTGCACAAAAGTATTCCAGACGCACAAAAATAAACATAGCGGGACGCAGCGAGAGCGTTTCCATTGAGGGTTGTGTGCTCCTGAGGATGACTGGCAATTGCGACGACATTCAAAGCACAAAACACACAAGGAGGTCCAACAGTAGTCTTTCCGGCCACACACAGCCATAGTGAATGATATAACAATGACATATTGTTGCTATGCTGCCGGACAGACATCTCCTGAAGTAACCTGCAGGAAACTTGGATGCACCGAGAGCAATGTAGATGCACCAGTACCAGTGCTTTTGTGCCTTTTTAATCCTTTTTTTGGCCTCTGAATAATGATTTTATTTGTTTATAGCATTATTTGTTAATAGCATGTTTTGTTTTTGTTTTGTTTTGCTTTGCTTTTTGTATTTTTGCTTTGCTTTGCTTTTTGTTGTTTTATTCTATGCTTTGCTTTATTTGATAAATTATAATATTTTGCTGTTTTATTTTTTATCTTGATTTTAAACATTATATCATTTATTCATTTATTTATTTATTTGTTTGTTTGTTTGTTAATTTGGCATCATAGATGGAAATATGGCACCAGCAACATTGCTTTTGTGCCCCCCCCCCTTTTTTGGACCTCTAAAAATGACATTATTTGTTTATTTATAGCATTATTTGTTAATAGCATGTGTTGTTTTTTTTGCTTTGCTTTGCTTTGCTGTTTTGTTTTTTGCTTTGTTTTGATTTTTGTTGTTTTATTCTATTCTTTGCTTTATTTTATAAATTATTATAATTTACTGTTTTAGTTTTTTATTTTGATATTACGTTTGATATTATTATTATTTATTTATTTGTTTATCAATTTGGCATCACAGATGAAAATATGGCACCAGCAATATATAATAATATTTCTTTTCTTTTCTTTTCTTAAATAATGACATTGTCTTTGAGCAGCTGCCAGAAAATGTTATGTTTGAAGACTGTGAACGTGTCATTTTTTTGTTTTGTTTTGCTTTGCTTTGGTTTGCTTTATTATTAAATTATTAAATGTTATTTAAAAGTAATTTTTTAGTTTTATCTTATTAATTTTGACGTTACATTTTATATTACTATTTGATTTATTTGTTTATATTACTATTTATTAATTTGGCATCACAGGTACATATATAAGACTTATTTTTTTCCATTATGTTCTTTGCTTTTGCTTCAGTAAAGATTTTAAAATGTTGTTCTTTTATTTTTTTTATTTTGAAATTACATGATTATTATTATTATCTTATTCTTCTTATTATTATTATTTAGTTGTTTGTTTTACTTTATATTATTCTACAACTGTTTGTGGTTTATTGTAACAAAATCCTTAATAGTGAAATTGCTTCTTTATTCCTTTTGAAATACTATTTTTTCATTATAAATTATATCGTCAGGAATTTAAGTCAAACATTGGATAATTCTCAGAATTTCTATATTTCTTAGTATTTTATGTTTCCTCTTTTGTTCAAGTTGGCATGATGTTAGTTCATTGTAGTTATCCACTAGTATTACAGAGGTTCTAGAAATTTGAAGTAGAAATATAATATACACGTTCAGAGGTGTCTAAGGTTGCTGACCGTTGAAACCTTTATGTAAGAAGCCTCACAATGAAAAGTTTTAAAGAAGAAGCCAATGACAGGTGGTATCCAACATTCGATTTAGTGCCACTATGTCAAACACACACACATTTTTACCCCCAGGAGAACATTTGAGCCTGAAAGGAAAAAAATAGATGAAAGAGGGGGCAATCAGGATGTGACACATGTCATCCAGGCCTGTTGAGAATATATCACAACTTCCCCATCGCACCGTGGAGTGAGAGAAACTCGCGCGCACATGTACACAGACTTGCTGCATGTGTGACATCATTGCATCAGCTTCACTTACCAGTGTTGTCATCCCTTGAGACAACTGCGAATAAGGTAGTAGCTGTTTGTTGAAGAGTCTGAGAACTAGAGACGTGTTTTTATGTGCATGTGTTTGCCTAGGAATAGGACATGGTGGTTGACTATTCCTCTCTATTTTTTGGTACATGTATATTTTAGTTTTAATATTTCAGTGGTGGTGCTCTAATTAGCATGCTGACAGTGTGGTGTGCGTTAGCTTTTACAGTTTGCACTGTAAAATCCTCTCAGGAAAAGGTGCGTCTTCTAAATTGAACACATTCTAAACACTGCTTCTGTACCTATACACATTTAAACAGACATATTGACTGTTGCGTCATGTCTCACACTGTTTTTTTGGGCGCCACAACATGAGTTTTTAAATCAGTATGTCACATTTTTAAAGAAGCACCACTAGAAAGCTAGTGTTTGTTTGTTTTTTGTTGTTGTTTTTAAAAAAATAAAGAATAAAAAATAAAAAAAGATAAATATAGGTAAAGTAGAATTAATATAGAATAGAAAGCGTTAGAGTTAGAGGGTCAAACAGATTTGTTTTTAGTCGTTTCTTGAAGATGGTTAAGGACTCAGCTGCTCGGATTGATTTGGGCAGATCATTCCACCAGGAGGGAACAGTTAATGAAAAAGTCAGTGAAAGTGATTTTGTGCTTCTTTGAGATGGCACAATAATACGCCGTTCACTTACAGAACGCAAGCTTCTAGAGGCCACATAACTCTGAAGTAATGAATTCAGGTAAAGGGGTGCAGTGCCAGTGGTGGTTTTGTAGGCAAACATTAATGCCTTGAATTTAATGCAAGCAGCTACTGGTAGCCAGTGCAAATTGATGAACAGAGGTGTGACATGCGTTCTTTTTGGCTCAATAAAGATTAATCTTGCAGCGGCATTTTGGATTAATTGTAGAGGTTTGATAGAAGTGGCTGGAAGACCTGCCAAGAGAGCATTGCAATAGTCCAAAACTCAAAATTGAGTTTTCTCACCCTCATGTCATTCCAAACCTGTATGAAGCTTGTACTCTTGTTTTGTCCATGCAGTAAAGCCAGTGAGTCCAATGTTGTATTAGACCCCACTGACATAAGGGTGAATATATAATGAAATAATTTTTTATCTTTGGGTCAAACTTTTCACCCGAATGTCATTCCAAACCTTAATGAGTTTCTTTTTGCAAAACATAAAATAAGATATTTTGAAGAAATATGGCAACCAAACAGTTTTGGTTCCCATTGACTTCCACTGTATTGTTTGTCCGTACAATGGAAGTCAATGGGAACCCGGCCTGTTCGGTTACCAACAATTTTTCAAAATATCTTCTTTTATGCTCCACAGAAGAAAGAGTAAATCATGATAGAATTTTCATTTTGGGTGAACTGTTTATTCACATTTATTCACAGTTAACCCACGACCAGTCCATTTTAAAAATATGTGGTTCGCAAACACGCTCTTTCTTCCGTGTATATCTGCCAAAGTGGCCTGCAGTGAGTCTTGGACAAACAGCCTATCCCTAAATCTTTCCCCAACAACCCCTGCCTCAATAAGTTAATGGTAAGCAGATATGCCAGTTGTTTGTTTGCTAAATCCTGCTTGATATGCAGATTGCCAGAGGCTACAGAGCAGGGCTGGATTGGTAATCGGGCATACCGGGCGTTTTCCTGGTGGGCCGACGCACTTAAGGGGCCGACAGAAGGTTTTTCATGTTTTTTTTTGCCGAGGACCATCACGCAGGGACAGCGAGCAGCCAGAGGCCCATTAGTTTGTCTCCTGTATTGACAGCGTAAACATCCAACCACAATGCGCTATAGACAGAGCGATGAAGTATTTTGTATTTTGCTCCGCCTATATAAAGATCGCTTCACCGCAACTTCTTCCTCGTCGGCTTTTCCCACGTTTTTGTGCCCCCTCAGATTTCTGAGCCAAATGGATTTTAAATGCAGCTTCCAAAAGACAAAACAATAGCCGAATAATATTTTTTATATTTGATACAATCACACCGGTGTGATTAGATCGTTTAGTGCGGCACAGCATCAGCTGCTATTCAAATCTGCGTTCGCGCTTTGGCTGGCACAGAGACAGACGCGTTTGTGCAGCGCTGCATTATAACCAATCACACACGAGTCTGTTGAGCTTATGAATGCAATGGCCAATCAGAGGCGTTCAAATGAGTCATCGCTGAAACGCTGTGTTTTGTTCACTTGCTCGCTGACTGTGCAGATGTGCGTACGAATGTAAGTAAGATATTCATTTCACAGTGTAAACAGCTGATTTAAATGGGAGTTTTTGAGAGTGCCTGAACTCTGGCTAGACTGAAGTGAAAATGTTCTTTGAAAATTTAAATGTTCTTTGCGATTTATCTGAAATAAAAAGCTTTTGTAACATTATAGGCTACATATACCATTCAAAAGCTTGGAGTCAGTATATTTTTTTTCCTTGGGAAATGATAGAAATTAATACTTTTATTTAGCAAGTATGCTTTAAATTGATCAAAAGGGATGATAAATAAATGTATAATGTTACAAAAAAATTTAATTTCAGATAAATGCTGTTTTTCTGAACTTTCTATTCATCAAAGAAACCTGAAACAATTCTGCTCGGCTGTTTTCAACATAGTAATAATAATACATATTTTTGAGCAGCAAATCAGAATATTTGAAGGATTTCTGAAGGATCATGTGACTGGAGTAATGATGCTAAAAATTCAGCTTTGAAATCGCAGAATAAATTACATTTTAAAATATATTCAAATGGAAAACAGTTATTTTAAATAGTACAAATATTTATTAATACAAATATTAT